TATGTATGTATGTATGTATATATATACTGTATATATCAAAATTTCATGAAGTTCCTGGGTTCTTACAAGAGGAGATTCCATGAGATTTCAGGGAAGAGCATGCAACACATCTGGACAATGTTAAAACCTTACTAGTTCTTAGCCATCTAAAATCTACTAGATTTTAGCCATTCTTATTATTTTAAATGTTATTTATGTTCTTGGTACCTTCACCGTTGGTTGAGATCTCACAGGGGTACCTAAAACAATTCCATACAGTTTTCTTGGCAACATTTTCAGAAGTGGTTGGCTTACCTTCTTCCAAGAGGTGAGAGAAACTGGCTGGGCCAAAGTCACCCAGCTGACTTCCATGCCCAAGACAGGACTAGAACTCAGGTCTCCCCAGTCCCAATCCAGTGCTTTAACTACTAGTCCAAACTGGCTCTTGAAAGTGATTATTAAACTGTACAATTCTGCTTTGTAACATTCTGTTTCCCTACTGAAATCAGAAACATCCTGTCTCACAGCAATCAATATTGCTACAGTTTAAATCTACTGTGTCTACCCATCAGAGAATCAAAGTCTGTTTTTTTTATTCCTCCCACTTTTTTTTTAACAGAATTCATCCAAAGTTTCACAGGCCCCTTCTCCTTGGGGAGGCAAGTAAGTATTCCTCATTCGTGGAAGTGAACTGTAAAATGGGATATTGGGAAGAGGAAACATTTCTTGCTTGATGAAGATTAGTTGTAAGATTAAGTTTAATGTTCTGTGGGTTGACGTTTGACAAGCAGAATGAGACAAAGCTTTATATGGATTGATATATCCCATATTCTTCATCAACGGGCTTCTTGAAGCCAATTGAGGACTATAAAGGGAGCTGCTAATTGGTTAGGAAGGACCACACCATTCCAGGATAGCAAAGAAAACCTTAAGATCCAGGGTAACGGCTGTCTCTTCCCACCAACAATGATTTCTTCAGTAATAAAAAGCCAACAGTTATTTAATTGATATATGGTAAGTGCTGTTAATAAACTGGAGGCATTATGGCACTAAGCAGAGGAAGAACTTTTTCACCCTGTTATCTGCTCTAATTCAGTGCAAATATAGCTGGTTTCAGCTTGCATTAGTCAGATACATATTTGGATCTTGCACACCCTCTGTGTGCCACCTGCACTTATTATCACGCAGACCACACACCTTGTGATCACCCAAGCTGAACACAGCCTATCTACCATGAATAGCTTGCCACCATGAGAGTTTAAGACCATAAAAAACAGGAGGCATTGTCACAACAAAATCATCCATCATGCAGGGCAGATGCTGATGTAGACAGAGAGGAGAGCAAAGGTATGGTATGAAGGGCAATTTGTTTTCCATCCTTGATGGCTTTCCCTTGAACTCTGTGCAAAGGATGGCTCTTGGGGAGCAGGTGATAAGAAAGAACCTGCTCCATCAGAACCCTTGAGATAACATGGATCTGGTGCAAAGCAACGTTGTGCGTTAACCAAGATGTTTTGCCTTCTGAAGTGGAACTCAACTCTTCTTCAGACTGGAGCTGGCATGGTCCAAAGTTTTGCTTCACTATTGGGGTGGGCAACTTTTTCCCCCCTTTTTCACACTCAGGGATAACCTGTTGAAGGCCACCAAGTAGGTCCCGCAAAAGCAAGTGGTGGGTGTGAGTAGTACCAAACGTAGATGGGTCAGCCATTCACTTCCTCTTCCTTCCAAGCAGTAGGCTTTTTCCAGAAGTCTGAACTGCTTCTTTACAAATAGGGATTGAAATTATCGTGAGGACTCTACGATGCCCCCTCTTAACTGAGAGTTCGGATGCTGCCTCCTTTACATCCTGCAAAATCAAAAGCAGAGGACTTTATCTGATTCCTGTTTAATCATTGATTCCTTTTCCTAGGGAAATGGGAATTCTAATTCTGTGAGGGCAAAGCTAATAGATCTTTAGTTTAGAACACCAATACTCAGAATTATTGTGTGGGGAGGTGGGGGAGAGGAAACTGCACCAAATAAATGCTGTATCTGATGGATAAATCAGTAGATAAGCCCGAAGCCACATCCATATTATATAGATTCCTGGGATTTCAACCAGCTTCAAATGCTTACTAAAAAATATTAATTGTGTTACCAAAGTCTTTCTTGAATGAAAAACTCTGCTAGGGGCAGATGTGCCATAGCACTCTAAGCTGGCAGATGTTTTCCTAATTGTTGGTGTTAGAATTAAAAGAAAATCCACATGGGAGGATTAGTGAGCCCCAAGTAGGTAACTTAAAAGGCAGCTTCATGGAAAACACTGTCCAGGTGAATTGCTGCCAGAGTGAAACAAAGTCCTAAGGATTCCTCCAGAAGTGAATGATTAATCTTCTCGCAGGTACCTCCTATCACCCAAGAAGGAGGTTTAAGAGCAGTTTATAGGGAAAGAGACAAACTGTTGTAGCAAATTGAATTTTTCTCCCCATCAAATGCTTTGGTTAGCCAATAATGCAGCCTGAGTGGGGTGGGAAGTTCACAACACTTTCAGGATCCCCTGTTCTGTTGTTTTCCTGTTCCTCCCCAGAAAAGTTGTAATTCCAGTTGTTCATCTAGCAAAATCATTCTGAATTCTATCTGTCACATCAACCCTTTCTCCTGCAAAATGGCAGAGCTTTTCCCCTCCAATTATAGCCCCACAACAATTCAGGGCTGAGAAGAGAAGGGGCAAAGGTCACTTAGGTCCCTGGCTAAAGGTAGCTTTGAACCATGGTCTCCCCAATCTTGGACCAACACCCTACTCACTACACCATCCTGTCTCTCTTGTGACTTGTGACAAGTAGCATTATTCTTCGGGAATGCATTTCATCCCCATCTCAGTTGGTGGAAGTCACATCAACTTGTGGTAGCAATTCCAATGGTCAAGTAGTCTGTGACCATAATCCACAAATGTGGTAGATGGAAGACAAACCCCAACAACAACCATGTGGTCAATAGTTAATAGAAGCAAAAGAGATTTACTCACAGGCCCCAAACTAGGGATATTTTTAACTCTCTGCTGAACAGGCAAATTCTTGGAGAGCAATTTCTAGCTGAGGAGGGACAGATTAAACACCCCTCCGCCCATGTTATGATATTAAGATGGATTGGAAGATTCTCCATCGAAGACAAAAGACTGCATGCTACAACTTAGCATGAACATTTTGACCCCCAATGTCTTGCTGCTGCTGCTGCTGCTGCTGCTGCTGCTGCTGCTGCTGCTGCTCTTCTTCTTCTTCTT